CTGTGCTCGAAGACCGGAGAATCACCGGATACCGACAACGGAGATGAGGATTTCAGTGAAGACAATGAAAGGGGTCCACTTCGAAATTGAAGCGGGCCCGAACGACACCATTGCTGACGTGAAGAAACGCATAGAAACAATCCAGGGTTTAGATAAATACCCGGCTGCCCATCAGTTGCTTGTTCAACAAGTAACAGGAAAATTTCTCAAGGACGAAACTACCTTGGAAGATATTAACGTTTCGGAAAGCCCTTGTTTCGTCGTCTTGAGGACCGTGAATAAACCCGCTCCGGCAGTCACTGGTGCTCCGTCATCAGGGACTACAACGGTGGTGCCGGAAAGTCTTTGCGTTCAGCTTCAAGCATTGCGGGCCATCTTACAATACGATTCTCAAATCCTGCCAGCCATTCTCATGAATGAGGAAAGAACATGTCCGGAGTTGATGCGGTCGGTTCGCCAGAAGCATCGCGGCGGCTTCCTTGGCCTAATGAATGAAGTTGAAGGCCAAGGCCAAGGCTAAGGCGAAGTTGAAGAGATGATGGGACAACTGGTGGTTACGCCTGGGGAACGAGAAGCGATTGAGCGTCTTCAAGTCATGGGTTTTGACCGGTTTCTGGCATTTGAAGTGTTTTTAGCATTCAACAGGAACGAGGAGCTGGCTACAAATTCTCTTTTACATATTATGGATGAGTTTGATGATGAGTGATTTAATCTTTTATATGGGCTCCAAATTATTTAGGACACCATTGTTATTTTATGCGGTTTATTATTTGTTATTAATAATACGATTTTTTTTTTGGATTTGACAATCTTACCGATTGAATTACTCCATCCGTTCCAACATAACTGTCTAATTTGTAAGTAAATAATAACAATTAATATGAGGTTTCAACTTCAATCACCATTAAAGAAACATGTACAACCATCTGATCTGAGCACCATGCATATGTACGTACGTCATATATATATGAAGGAAACCAATGTATTCTAATTAACTATATAGATAATTAAACCGAATGAAGTTTATTTCTTCATGGACCGCATTTGTTTTTCGACACTGCTACAGAGCACGAAGTGTAAAGGGGAAAAAAAGAAGAAGATATAATGAAATTTGGTATATATTTTGCAAGGTGCTAACCTTGAGGGAAAAAAATGAGAAGCATATAATTATTACCAGCAGTTTAGATGTGCTAATCCAAAACGACAATTGTCTTTCATGAACCCGAGCACTAAAAAAGCTCAACTGAAATGAAAGAATCTCCATATATATCCAGTTTTTTAGACCCTGACTTCCACGTTGAAAAATGCAAAAGAAGCCGATCAAGCACCACTGACTGTCTGATCAAACAATGCAAAAAGGCCAAGTCAGAAATAATTTAGAGACAAGCAGAGCTTCAGTTACTGATTAAAATCTTCAACTCTCGTTACCTTATAGTGCCGGTGCCCTAGCGAAACAGTACCAACTTGCAGGAACCCAAACGCTAAATGCTCAATTGAAATAAACAAATCATAACATAAATTTGCAAAGAGTTTGATGCTTAAAAATCTTGTTTTCTTTATTAACTGAATGTTTTCGGCATATGGATACATTCATTCGGAATATAATAAGTCAACTCAACCCATCAAGAAATTAAGGAAATCATTGTTTAGCCATACTTACAAAGTTTAACTCCAAAAGAAAACACATCACGTATAGCTAATCAGTTAAAACTGAAATTTCAGAAACATTTCTTACCACCATTAGCAAAGAATTCTGGAAAGCTTGACAACTGGCCCATTCCAACTCTCCAACTCAAAATCCATGTCATTCGTAATCTAGCTCTTGAATCGATCAGATTCATATACACAAAATCAAAATTAGTATTTTCTGGGTTTTTTTTCTTTTTATTTCTCTGCCTGACAATTTAGAGGATTCAAGGAGAAATTAAAGATATTCTAATGAATGAAGTCCTAGAGAGGTAAACTAGCTACAGTGATGATCTATAGAGATTCAGCAAGCAAGCACTAATAGGGTTTGGGTGCACTCTTGGCGGTTGGTTGTTTGGTTTTGTGCAGAAAAATTTAATGATAAAGAAAATATCAGATAAGAATAAATGAATAGAGATTTGAATCTTTGGTTTTCATCTGTTCCGTGTCAGGATATTCAATTATATTGAGAGATGAAGATGGGATATGAACAAAGAAAATTCATAAGTTGTAGTATTTCAGCTTCAAAACTCTAGAAAGATAGGTTAGGGTTCGAGTGTTTGTAAGAGAGAATCATGAATTGGGAATTTCAGAGATGATGATTCTGTAAAAAAGTGATATTCGATACTGATTCTGTACAAAGATACAGTATTTATGCAGCCCAATTATTGATCTAATCATTCACCGTATTAAATTTGTCTAAGTCAACTAACTAACCGCCTTATGTACAAAGACCAAACTACCCTTATTGTTTAACTTAAAACTATACAACGCAGAAGGACAAAATTGTCCATAACACTAACACTGTACAAACAGAGAAAACAACAACAAACTATACAATCCTCCTGAGTAAAACATCAATATTAATCAGCTCAAGGAGGATATTTATCATCCTTTACATCCCCTCCACAAGCTGGAAGGTGAAGATATGCCTTCACACCAAGCTTGGACAGCAATTTGGAGAATAAAGGATTTGCTAATGATTTGGTGAAGGTGTCTTCTGTCTGATCTAGTGAACTGACATGTAATGGAAGCACAAATCCAAGCTCATACTGATGTCTAACAAAGTGGCAATCTATCTCCAAATGTTTGGTGCGTTCATGAAATACCGGGTTCTTAGTGATGTAGATTGCAGCCTTGTTATCACACCATAAGGAGATTGGCAATGCAAGAGAAATATGAAAGTCATGAAGCAGGTAGGATAACCATAACAACTCCCTGATTGTGACATTTAAACACCTGTATTCTGCCTCAGCTGATGAGTATAAGATAGTCTCCTGCTGCTTGGTTTTCCATGAGATCAGGGAGGTGCCAAGAAATACACAGAAACCACTGACTGCCCTTCTGGTGATGAGATCTGATCCCCAATCTGCATCACTAAAAGCCTCTAGTTTAATTTCATTATTAGAGGAATAGAACAAACCTAGTGCTGGAGTTCCTTTAAGATATTTGAGAACATGGACCAAAGAATTCCAATGATCTTCACATGGTTGTTGAACATGATTGCTCAATTGTTGTACTACAAAAGTCAAGGCTGGTCTAGTAAAAGATAGATACATTAACTGACTGTCATAGTTATCATGTATTGGAGCATATTATCTTGTATTTAGATTATGTTGTAGAGTTATCAAGTATATCTCTTGTACTTATCATGTGTTGTAATCTCCCTATATATGGGGTGTTGTATCAATTAGAATGAATCAATTTAGTCTGATCAATGAGAATGATATGCAACTCTAACGCGCCCCGATATTTGTTTTGCAGTTAACAAATTGTGTCAATTTATGCATCATCCGACCTCAGTTCATCTTCAAGCTCTCAAGCGAGTCATTCGTTATCTTCGGGGTACTATGGATCGTGGTTTATGGTTGCGTTCTTCTCCATTGCGAGTTGTTTTGGCTTTTATGGATGCCGATTGGGCCGAATGCCCGGATGATTGCCAGTCTACCACCGGTTTCCTTATCTATCTTGGTCCCAATTTGATCGCTTGTACTTCTTGTAAACAGCATACCGTTGCTCGATCATCCACCAAAGCAGAGTTTCGCTCCATTGCCAACGTGTGTGTTGAACTCCATTGGTTATGCCATCTTCAAGTCCATAAAATTTTTAACTAGCAACGATGATAATGTTCCTCAAGGTCAAAACAGATGAGGACATGTCGATGATCGATCATTCCTATCGAAAAATTTCCTTTGAACCCAATAGTTTTAAATTCTTTCCGTAGATAGTCCATTTTTGGCCTGCCTTTGGTAAATTTTCCTACAAGGGCGAGTTGAAAGGGGGCTGCTCATCGTTCATCTTCTTCTTTTGTTAGAAGAAAAGTCGGCTCTCCTTTGAAGAAAGTTGGTTTTGAATGAATTACAGGTGGTGCTTGATTTTTTGATGACTGTTTTTGTATGGTCTTTGGATTTGAATTAGGTCCTAAAATTTGTGCAAAGGAAGGCCTTTGGAGTGGTTGAATTGGTTGTGATTGGCCTATGGCAGGCGGCGGATCGCCGGCCATAGGAAGAGAAGAAGAGAGAGGTCAGAGAACTCTAGAGAGAGAAAGAGTCCGAACTCTAGTCTTGTTTTCTTCTTTCTCCTTTCTCCATGCTGATGTGTTTATGGAATGAAATTCTCTATTAAAGTGGTTAAATTTACAAATTACAAGTTTAGACCAGAAATTTTTTCTTTACCAGTTGCAAAAAAAAAGCAGAAGAAAATAAAAAGAAAAAGAAGAGATTATGTTAATGATAGTGATGTTATTTCCGATAGCTCCAACTGTTATCAATGTCATTGTTGTCATCACCGGCCGGTCATTTTGCCACTCTTCTTTTCACAATGTCCCGAGCTACTCTGGTGGACCAATCATCATACGACATCGAAATATATCCAGAAAAAGGCTACCGGTGATAAAGTGTCAAAAATCCGATTAGGTTAACTTCAGGCCGACGTTACAACCATTTCAAACTTGGTGGCAAAAATTATGTCACGTACTGTGTATTACAATTCATTAGCAAGGATGGAACTCCCGGGAGATTGGAAACTAGCTAGACCCGAACACACACATTTTCAACCGTGACCATCTTCACGATTTGCTTCATTAACTAAACGTGCGGTTCATGCACTCTTGTTCACAAATTGAAAAAAAAAAATTACGATCCCTCCTAATTATTCACGAGTTCAGATTGACTCGAGACTGAATCTTTGGTTTCTTTCTCATTCTCCCTGGCTTCCTGGAATTCCTTCTTGGGGATCTCATGATAGGCAGCATTCGGAGCATCCAAAATGGGAGCATAATAATCAGGATGAGCTTCCATAACCTTGTTCAAGGCAGAGGTGAGTTCAAAACACTTTTGCGCAATTTCCTCCTTGTGGTTTGTCTAACAAAAGTTGAACGCAAGATGGAACATTAAGTCAATGAAACGAGTTCGAAACGTACACGGAAACAAACTTTTAGTTTCCGATTCGGTTTAGGTAACTAACTAGCTTGGTGCGTTTGGGTTAGACTTAATCCCCTATATAAGTTTATCTAAAGCTACGTAGATTTTTTATCATCACTTTTCTTCGACACTCTCCTTTAATTAATTATTACTATCTCTTTCTTCTAATTCGTTCCATCAAACACATTCCCATCCACCTGCGCGCGGCGACCGGAGAATCATCGGATACCGACAAAAGAGAGATGAAGATTTCAGTGAAGACGTTGAAAGGGGACCGCTTCGAGATTGAAGCGAGCCCGAACGACACCGTTGCTGATGTGAAGAAACTCATAGAAACAAGTCAGGGTTCAGATAAATTCCCGGCTGCCAATCTGTTGCTTGTTCAACAGATAACAGGAAAATTTCTCGCCGACGAAACTACCCTGGAAGATAACAACGCTGCAGAATACCCTTGTTTCACCGTTTTGACGACCATGAATAGACCCGTTCCTGCAATCACCGGTGGGACTAGTTCGGCGGTGCCGGAAACTCTTTCCCTCCAGATTCAAGCTTTGTGGGCCATCTTACGTACAAGACGATCCTCAAATCCTGCCGTCGATTCTCATGGATCACGAAACAACATGCCCGGAGTTGATGCGGTCGGTTCGCCGGAAGCATCACGGCGGCTTACCAGGCCTAACGAATAAAGCCAAGGCCAAGGCGTAGTTGACGAGATGATGGGACAACAAGGGATTTCTTCTTTCTTTTCTTTTTTCTTTTTTATTTTTTATTTTTCTATGTGCTGAGTGATTTTTTCTTATTATATGCCATTGTTATTATATTCGGTTTTTAATAATTTGTAGTTAACATGAACTTCTGTTTTGATTTGGCAAACTTACAAATTGAATTACTCCATTCGTGCCAAAATAACTGGCTAATTTGTAAGCTTTTAATAATTAATATGAGGTTTCTACTTCAATCACCATTAAAAAAAATATACCAGAACACCATCTGAGCACCACGCATGTACGTCATATATGAAAGGAAGCCAGTGTATTCTAATTAACTATGCAACAGAATATTGAACTTTATATCTTCATGGACCGCATTTGTTTTTCAACACGTACTGCTAGCTACAGAGCACGAAGTGTAAAAGGAAACAAAAAAAAAAAAAAAGAGATATAATGAGCTTTGGTAAGTGTAAAAGGGAAAAAAAAAAGAAAAAGGAAGATATAATGAGCTTTGTAAAAGGAAACAAAAAAAAAAAAAAGAGATATAATGAGCTTTGGTAAGTGTAAAAGGGAAAAAAAAAAGAAAAAGGAAGATATAATGAGCTTTGGTATTTCACAATAAGTTGATAGACCCTGACTCCCTGAAATAATCCTCTTAATAATCCTCTTCCAAGAGCTTTCCCATCTGAGAAGAAGCCAAACAGTCAAGAACCACCGATATAGTCACCAAAGAGTCAAGAACCACCGACCTGAGGAAGAAGCCAAACAGTCAAGAACCACCGATATAGTCAGAAATAATTCAGAGACAAACAGCTCCAGTTACCTAGTACAACCCCTTCATCAGACGAGGTTAAAATCTTCAACTCTCGTTGCCTCCTTGCGCCCGCAAGGAACAATTATCTAACGGCAACTCAAACCCTAAATACTCAACTGAAATAAACGAATCATCAATTAATGAGTCACGTCCTAACATATTATTGGTGGGATTTTTACCGACAATGACCAAAGTAAAAGATCATCCATCTTTTATACGTTTGCAAAGAGTTTGATGTTGAAAAATTATTGTTTTCTTTATTCAACTAAGTGTTTTCGGCTTATGGATTCATTCACTCAGAACATTATAAACTCAACTCAACGGATCAAGAAAGGAAATCATTGTTTAGCCATACTTACCAAGTTTAACTCTAAAGAAAACACATCACGTAAAGCTAGCTAACTAGTTAAAAACTGAAAATAATTTCAGTAACATCGCTTACCACCATTAGCAAAGAATTCTGGAAAGCTTGACAACTGGCCCAGTCCAACTCTCCAACTCAAAATCCATACCGCGCGTAATCTAGCTCTTGAATCGATTGGGTTCATAGACACAAAAATAAAACTAGTATTTTCTGGGTTTTTTTTTCTTTTCTTTTCTTTCTGTGTCTGATAGTTTAAAGGATTCAAGGAGAGAAATTAAAGATATTCTAATGAATGAAGTCCTAGAGAGGCAATGATCTAGTATGTGGATGCAGCGCGGAAGCACCAATAGGGTTTGGTTGCATTCATGGCGGTTGGTTGTTTGGTTTTGTGCAAAACAATTTAATGATAAATAAAAGATCAGATAAGAATAAATGAATAGAGATTTGAATCCTTTGGTTTTGATCTGTCCCGTGTCAGGATATATTCAATTATATTGTACTAACAGTCGAGTACAACTTGTATATATCGTGCATAACTTCTATTTTAGCTTAAAAAACGAACAATCAGTTGACCTAATCATTTTGTTTCCTTTTCTTTTAGAATCAAAAGATGTTACATACCAGGTTTGCCTTTTTTTTTTTTGAGGCAAACAAGCAGAACCTATATATTATTTCGGTTCAAATTTGGTCCTTTAAATTCTCTAAAATTTTCTTTTGATCTTTTTTCTGATCCATTTTCTCTTCAAATTTTCACAAACTCCATATACATAATTTTCTGAACTCGTTTCAATCTTCATGAATATTAGAGACGTGCAAATTCTTAAACTGACATTAACCCCGAAAAGAAAAGGAAAAACGGTGCACCCTTCTTTTGTGAATGGGATTTTTTTTTTTTTTTTTGGAGTATAGATAGTACTTTCTTAAGTGTCTGATTGAATTGAAACGGGATAAATATGAATGTATATTTGTGAAAATTAATGATGATGACGATTTCTATAAAATTCTTTTTCCTTTTTTTTTTGTTCCCTTCTCCATACTGATGTGTTTGTGTGATGAAATTCTCTACTAGAGTAGTTAAGTTTACAAATTACATGTCTAAACCAGAAAATTTTTCTTTACCAGTTGAAAAGAAAGAAAAGAAAAAAAAAAAAAAAGAAGAAAGAGATTATGATCTTAACAATAGTGATGTTATTTCATACAGCTCTCACTGTTATCAATGTCATTGTTTTCATCACCGGCCGGTCATTTTGCCGCTTTTCTTTTCACTATTTCCCCACTCCAAAGTTGACTCTGGCGGACCAGTCATCATACGATATCGAAATATCCCGAAAAGGCTACCGTTGATAAAGTATCAAAATCCGATTAGGTGAAATTGAGGCCGACATTATAGCCATTTCAAACTCTGTGGGAGTATCCTCAGCAGCAAAATTATCTCATGTTTCCGACTATTTACAATTCATTAGCAAGGATGGAACTCCAGGGAGATTGGAAACTAGACCCAAACACATTTCCAATCATGACCATCTTCACGATTTTCTTCACTAAACGTGCTGTTAATGCTCTTGGCCGGTCTCTAAATCTCACAACAAATTAACTAAATTAAATTCAAAAAATGACTATATATCCGAAAATTTCTTACCAATAGTAAGGAAGTCTAGAGAGCTAAAGAACACCACCCGAATCCATATCATAACAGCGCATAACCAGCTTTAAAAATCCTTACAAAACTGCATCCAACCTCTAAAATGTAGAACATTTATACCTACTTTAGGTGGAACAGGCAATCTGCAACCCTGAATAGCCAACTAGTGGTTCCAACTATCAAGTGGAATAACCTCCGTGTTGCAGCTAAACGGGTGTACATCGAACTGCAAACATAAACTTAAGCTATAAGAACACTTTATGCAAAAACCATTTATTTTTCCAATCGAAATATCTACTTAAATATATAGGTTTTGGAGCTCCAACTTGAGTTTGGATCGAATACCATATTGAAGTAACTAAAATCAAATGCATAGTTAATGGCTGGAAATGATTGGTGAAAAATTTGAAGAGGACACATCAAAAGTAACTAAATGAAATCCAAAAAAAAAAAAGTAACTATCCGAAAATTTCTTACCTATAGTAAGGAACTCTAGAGAGCTTAGCTGAAGCAATCCGACCAAAACAGGCCCCCAGATCAGGATCATCCATATGATTAGACAAGGACCGAATCTTGTTCTCGTTCAGGCCGAAGCAAGAATACATTATTTTAAGATGATTATACATCAAAGGAACCGAAAAAATAGTAATACAAATTGTAGTGAGATTATGACCAGAAAATAAGGTATCTAGTGTTCAAACACGAAGTTGATAGTTCTAACTTGTGTCTGTATGCTCTTGAACAGAATTAAAACACAAAGTTGAAGCTGGTATTTTTGGGTTTACGATTAAATTGAAAGATATTTGAAGGATTTAAGGAGTGAATAGTTGGGAGTGTTCCGCTAGCTGCTTTAAGTCGAGAAAAAAGATGATGAGAAATTAATATAGAGAGCAGCTCCAATTAAGCAGTACAACAACAATAATGCAGGTTTGATGGGTGCTAGGTTTCGCAGAAAACTTAAATGCACAAAGGACAACAATTTCATATTTAACCCTCAATATCTACATCTCCCTACTTGTGATACTCAAAACTTACGCAGGCGGTTCTTGAGCAGCATGCATACTCGAAAATTGGAAATTTGAAGTTATGGTTGGGTGGATGATGATGAATTGAAGAGTATTACGCGTGCTCTGAAATCTTCTGCATGAAGTCCAGAGAAATTGAATTGAAATAGGGCAGCACCAATAAGTTACATTAATTGGAAGTAGTTTGGTTTAGTTGCAAAAACTAAATGCATATCATCAGACAAAAAGGCAAAAATTAATAGAACACTACTTTCCCATCTGTTCCATGCTCAGGATTTATAGAACTTGTTTCAATCCTCGATCATAAAGATTGAGAGATGCATTGAGTGCAGCTCCAATACCTAGTAGTATTAATTAAAGGTGGGTGTGGGTTTGGGTATTTGGTTGTGAAGGAACACACAGAATCGTAGTACATAAATTAATTGAACAATATTGATGTACGATTAATTGCTATCATTTGTGTCTCGTCAGTAGTTCTGTCCAAAAATTAAAAATGCCTATGAGGATTTCCCTTTTGTCTTTGGTTTGGCTCTATACGATAGAAGATAACATCAGGTGATCACGTTCACATCATTTGACTACAGAGATTTGATTCCCATGACTGTAAATGTATTCTCCTATTACTCAACTTTACCTGAATTATTATACCCAAAAAAAATAAAAATAAAAATTCCCTCTTTTTCTTTTACTTTTCTTTTTTTTCTTTCATAATTTTGTTGTAGTTAATTATATGAAGGGGGGCGCTCTCTCCGTTAATTACAGTAGTTGAAAATAATTGGACGTAACATGTTTCACTAGTAAATTAAGTCGATGGAATACGAAAATAATTCGACATAACATTTTCCAAATTTATAGAAAACCAAATCCAATTGGGAAAAGTCTGATGAAAAGCATAAAAAACAGACCAAATCCTTAAACCTTAACCTCTCTTCATCCTTGTATTCAGTCCTCAACATCCTTTATTTCGGCATGAAACTGAATTCCTTCCACAAATTTGATCATCAAATTGGCGTAATTTTGACGGTATCCAGCACAGTAAATTTGTTCGGTGGTTCTTCTGATCAGATTAGGGTTTAGAGAAACGAAGAGATTGGGTTGGTTAAATTCAAGCCTGCAACGACGCTGATTAATAGGTTTAATACAAAATTTGATGATCATTCTCAATTGTGTTCGATTTGTCTTTCGACGCTCTCCTTTATAATTTGGTGATGATATTCACTAAGCTCAAGCCTCTTGTTCCCATATTTCTTCCATAAAAATTGTATCTTTCTCTGGCTGGATAAAAATCATTCCTCTCCCTTGTGTCGATTCTCATTTGTGATTTCGGTTTAGATTAATTTTAATTGTTGGTGAATATATGTTTCGCTTAGTTCGATTCCTTCAGAGAGAGGAAGGCGTCATTATTTATATTCGTTCTACCAAATTTATTTCAATGTGCATATTATTTTGAGTGAAATGAATTTGGTGACTACTATCTTCATAATGGGAAAAATTGACCTTTTGCTTTGTTAAAAATAAAAAATGTGTGGTCATTTGTGAATGGAAGC